CTGTTACTGCTACTATTACTGATGCTACTACTACTACTACTACTGCTACTGTAGCTACTGTTACTACTACTACTGCTGCTGCTGTAGCTACTGTTACTACTACTACTGCTGCTGCTGTAGCTACTGTTACTACTACTATTACTGCTGCTACTACTGCTGCTACTGTAGCTACTGTTACTACTACAACTACTACTGCTGTAGCTGCTGTTACTACTACTATTACTGATGATGTTACTACTACTACTGCTACTGTAGCTACTGTTACTACTACTACTACTACTGTAGCTACTGTTACTACTACTACTGCTGTGGCTACTGTTACTACTACTACTACTACTACCTCTGTAGCTACTGTTACTACTACTACTGCTGCTGTAGCTACTGTTCCTACTACTATTACTGCTGCTACTACTGCTGCAGGGGCGGTGTGGTAGCCTGGGTCCCGTTCCACAGAGCTATCTTAGCGCTATGACTACCGTAAGCCTATGTTAAAGTATGGGAGTTACAATCATCTAAGCGCTAAGAATGCTTTGTGGGACAGGGCCTGGTGGTTAAAGCGTTTGCTCGTCACGCCGAAGACCCGGGGTTCAAATTCCCCACATGGACCCATTTCTGGTGTCCCCCGCTTTGATATTGCTGAATATTGCTAAAAGCGGCGTCAAACTATACTTACTCACTCACTACTGCTGCTGCTGCTGCTGCTGCTGCTACTACTGCTACTATAGTCTTTTATATGTTCAAATTTCTCTTAATATGAGTGGAAGGCTTAAAGGGCCCGGATAGGGTCCTGACAAACAATGGATCATCCAGTACTACGACTACGACTACGACTACGACTACGACTACTACTACTACTACTACTACCACTACTACTACTACCACCACCACCACCACCACTACTACTACTACCACGACCACCACAACTACTACTACTACTACTACTACTACTACTTCTACTACTACCACCACAACCACTACTACTACTACCACCACTACTACTACTACTACTACTACTACCAACACTACTACCACTACCACTTCTAGTACTGTCACCACCACCACCACCACCACCACTACTACTTTTGCTACTACTACTACTACTACTACTACTACTACCACCACAACCACTACTACTACTACCACCACTACTACTACTACTACTACCACCACTACTACCACTACTACTAACACTATCACTACTGGTACTGCCACCACCACCACCACCACTACTACTACCACCACCACCACCACTACTACTGCCACCACCATCACCACCACTACCACTACCACTACCACTACCACCACCACCACCACCACTTCTACTACTACTACTACCACTACCACTACCACTACTACTACCACCACCAGCACCACTACTGCTACCACCACCATCACGGTCCAACATGTTATATACAATATTTTTATTACAGAATAAATGTATCTGTATTAATTTGTTTTATGCTGATTATTTATAGCATGCGAGACGTGCCTATTTTGTTTCCCACTAAACTGCCGGGCCAAAGAAAACAAACACCCGTGTTGGATAGTGGCTACAAAGAAAACAAACACCTATGTTGGATAGTGGCTACAAAGAAAACAAACACCCATGTTGGATAGTGGCTACAAATGAAACAAACACCCATGTTGGATAGTGGCTACAAATGAAACAAACACCCATGATGGATAGTGGCTACAAATGAAACAAACACCCATGATGGATAGTGGCTACAAATGAAACAAACACCCATGTTGGATAGTGGCTATAAATGAAACAAACACCCATGTTGGATAGTGGCTACAAATGAAACAAACGTTAGTCGATGATAATGTGTTTGACACGGGTATCATATATATGTTTTGAACCTTATGTTTGTCGTGTCTCGGCGATTGTTTTAAGCCTAGTAACGTTTTCATAACGTTTGTAATGTTTTAGTCAAATCAAATGTGCAAGTGTATACTTTCCTTTACCCGGAAGTTTAGACTGGTTTTGTAAACTAAAATCAGATATTCCGCAGTCATGGTGCTAGAACGAACCCAGCCTTTCACGATATGATACATATACAGTCGCAGGTGAGGGATATACATGTATGTAGTAACCTTGGAGTAATCGAGGCTAATGAAGTAACGGCTTTTCGCATCCCCACTTCTTGCACGAACATAATCACCATTAACAGTAGGGTCCGGTTAGTCAAAACCTGGTTATCTGTTGACCAGCCGTTAAGTCAGATTTAACTGTCCGCTAAATATAACCAAATGGTTACATTATTTCTGAGAGCATTGTTATCTTCAAAGGTTGGTTAAATTAGGAGATAAACATGCTGTGTTTTCAATGTAGAGTTGGGTTCGCTGGAGGTGTAACCGCGCTATTTTGAATTTGGAATCGAACACGTAACAGTGTGGGTTTCACAAAGTGGTAATCTTCTATGATCCACTTAATTTCAGTATTTCGGAATAACTTAATTACATATCAGTACGGCGCTGAACTATAATCATTTTGAACAAAAGATGTGGGCTGGTTGGGGTCTGGCGCAGGCAAACCAGTTCCCTATGATGTGGGGTACATGAGTTGCTGAAGACAAATTCTAACCTGGACCTTCACGGAAAGGTTTGAACGAACCAATGGGATATGACTGAAGGCAGTTAAAGGAACATTAGGTCCTGGCAAAGTGACAGTCCCAGCAAGTTTCATTCAAATCAGACCGCCTGTATGGTCTAGTGGTAGAGCGTCCGCCCGTTCGGGTTCGATTCCCGGCTGCGTCATACCAAAAGACGTTAAAAGATGGTACTTGTTAATCCCTTGTCTGGCCCTCGGCACTAAGGGGCGAAAGCAAAGACTGGTCTTCTCGGAGTGTGGGGTATTCATGTTAAACTGTGGTATGGTATCTCAGTGGGCTAGCACTATATAATTGGCATTAGTCTGTGCATGCACGTCGCTGTATTAGCATCATAATCTTAAACGCGACGTTAAACCCCAATTCACCTCCCCTCACCTCTTTAGTCAAACAGGGTATGCTGTATGCTTCCCCCGAGGGAGGCCACGCATTTAAGCAGACCGGGCGGGTTCCATTCTTGCTTTGAGCATAATTTAATGATTTTGTTTTTAAACCGACTCAAAACAGACGTCATCCCAACAATAGTAATATGATGACAAAGGATGTCACTGCTCTTCGTGAACATCCGGGGTAGAATAGGTCTTCAGCAACCCATGCTTGCCGTAAAAGGCGAGTATGCTTGCCGTAAGAGGCGACTAACAGGATCGGGTGGTCAGGCGCGCTGACTTGGTTGATGCATGTCATCGTATCCCAATTGCGTGGATCGATGCTCATGATGTTAATCACTGGATCGTCTGGTCCAGACTCGATTATTTACAGACCGCCGTCATATAGTTGGAATATTGCTGAGTGCGGCGTTAAACAACAAACAAACCAACAGCTCTTCGTAGAGGCTGCGTAGAGTTATGCGTTAATAACCTTGACGTCAATAATTTATCTCTTATATCATTACTTTCACATTCCGTTTGATGCTTTATACTCCTTGGTATTCAGAATGAGACAGTGTCATATGAGTAATTGCATCCATTCATCACCGTATACGTGGACAATTATGTTCCTAGAGAGATTGTTAGCTGAGGATGTTTCCGTATCATAAATATTATATTGTAGAAATATATGAATTGTATTCTGCGAGCCTTTGGCGAGCACAATACATATTTTTTATTCCTAATATGATATTAATGATACGGAAACACACGATGGTGATAACATGTTTGTCATTTAATGTCATTCTTAAAATAACCGATGTTTAATACGTGAGTGAGTGAGTGAGTTGGGTTTAGTTGGGTTGGGTTTAGTTATATCGCGGCGTGTCAGCTTAATGTGGGAGGAATGTGGGAGGAAAGCCCGAAGTGATGCAGACGTTTACCACTGGTGCTGACAAATCTAGAAACATAATCGGGGCGAACCGGGATTCGAACCCACAATCATAGGGTTCTGGCGTTCCCAAGGGATGCGACTCTGCACAGCAATTCGCGGCGCCTGATACGTAATTTAGCTCAATAAAGTAACTTCAGAAACTGCGCATGAATACAGTGTTTGAGTTAACCGCCCCATTTATCATAAAGTATACCAGATGATTTGCAGCCTTGTTTGTCTACAGAAGTAAGCAAACATTGTGAAACTCCTATCTAAACTTATTTGAACGTTACTCAATTGTCTATCGAGCAAGCCCACATTGCATCGATGTATGGTATTGCGATACCTAGATTTTTGGAGCGGTTTAACAATCTATCCATTAAGTGATAAATTCCTTCATTATGTTTATACCTTTTCCATAATATTACATAACACATGCTACTTTTAATACAATGTCATATCATAAACCTGTTGCTGGACATTTTCAAACAGGAGAACATATCTTAACCTTCTTTTGATACTGTCTCGGATATTTGATGATAACCACCTGCTTTTTATTTGTAGCGACGCTGACCCATCTGTTTGTACTGTGTTGTGATCGTTGTAAGTCCTTCATCCACACGTCACGCAGTATTCCCTCACGTAACAAAACACTGTACATATGTTTATTTCACGTGATCCCTCGTTAGGGCTGATAGATTTGCCTTCCTTATATTTGGCTAATGTGTAAGCAGGGGCTATTGTCGTAATAGTGAAAACAAACAGCAGGTTCAGAAATAATAATGAAACAATATTTGGCATGAGGCTTAAATACTTAGTCTAAATAAAGGTGATAATAAGTTTCATATTCTTATAACAAAACAAGAACAAATATGCATAAATCTTATGTAAATATTCTAAATATTCCTGAAACAAAAGTCAGCAAAAATGGATGAACATGCAAGTATAACACTTACTGATATAAATGTCAAGTTTGTTTAAAGTTGAATGTCAAGGTGCCATGCTTGAGGGGCTTTAAGTTTAACACGGCATGCTCCCTAAACTATACGTAAACAGAACCCACATACCGTTGTAATACCTTACCGGGGGACTCTTTAACAAAACGGACTATAGCCACTGTACATGGCTTGTGACCTACAAACCAACGGCTAACAGGTAAGTTACTTAAACTGACTTACAATCTTTAATGTTCTGCGATTGATTTTACGTAATATATGCCTGACAGCGAATGTTTTATGTGAAATTGACAAACTCCGTGCAACACGCCTGTAAACAAATTTAGCTTGACAGCTGTCAAGGCGTGTTGGGTGTATATTCCAGTGATGACATTGGACGCTTGTCTCTGTGTGGACAAGTTGCATACAATGTTTTCATAATCACCAGGTGGTATATAAGCATGTAAGTACATATTTCTTATATTACGCAAAATACCCTCTAACCTAGATGCTTGTTTATTCGTGTGGAAAAGGTGACATGTTTCGGTCACAGTTCAGTTATGCGTGAGGCTTTATGTCAATCTCTCTATGGTTGAATGATAATACGGTTGTGTTGTAATAGGCATAACATTGCGGCCTTATCGTTAAGTACCTGGCGATCACTCCTCTTTCTTATGATGACATGAACTTATGTATTGTTGTATATTGGTTTGCGTGTTTATTATATTGGTTTGCGCGTTTATCAATGCAAATGGTATCAATATCAGCGTGTAGAGTGTAATGGACTATTTCCTCATTCAAGCCTTTGTAATATTACTACAGCCACACCTGATGTTAATTGATGATGGAAGTTGTATATTTTGATATCCCTTTAGACCCATATGGTTTCGGGGTTGGAATAGGTCTTCAGCAGTCAATACTGGTTGTAACTACATGGATGGAGTGGTCAGAAACTTGGTTGATTGCGTGTCATCGCACAGAATAGGATGTTGCTCATGATATCAATCACTAGTTTGTCCGGTCCAAGCTGTATTAATTTACAGGCTACAATATAACTGGAATATTGCAGAGTCGGTGTTAAACACCAACAAAGAAAATGTTTAATTAAAGGGTAAACTATTACACATAAAACAGATTGTATGTTAAGTGATAATTATAACGCTTAAGTTGTGAGTTGGCTGCTAGAATGATCAATGACTTACATCAGCTAAAATAACTATGATTTAAATCAACTTTAATTTACACCTGTCACCCAACTTTGAAATGTACAACGACGATAAGAGCAGGGGATGTCAGGCTGAAATATACACCTTACCTCATGAATAGCATTGTCTGTGTGTACAATAATGATTTCCTTGTGTCCCCGTGACGTCCATACGTGCAGGTTAGTATAATGTTACCGGTGTCCGTGAATGAAATAGGCTGTACAGGATTCCTTCAGTTTAAAACAGCCGCATAAATCAAGCCGAGCATCGAAATACAAGTACCGTAAATGTTACCCAAATCGCGGCAGCGATTGTACTTTTTGAAATTCATATCTTTTTGACCACCAAAGTAGAAGGTGCTACTTTCTGGCGAAGAAGTGTTGAGAAAGCATTCAGCTTCCTTATTTTAGTAGATATCGATTTCGAATCTTTTACCATTTGGGTAAAACATTTGTCTTGGCGATACTTTGAGATGGGATGAGAAATCACATGTGAGTGAGTAAGTGAGTGAGTGAGTATGGTTTTACGCCAGGGGACACCTTAAATGGACAGAGAACATGACGGAGTAAGGTTTCAGGGACGGGATACAATTCTCATATATTGGACTTTACAACATGTAGTATCAGAGAGGTGCACAATTCCATTGAAATTCTTGTCAAAAAGTCCCATATATGTCAATATCATATAATAATGTCAATATCATTTGTACACTTATTCTGATATGCCACATTGAACCTTGAAATATTTAACAACTTCCTTAAAAGACAAATTCCAATTATAAAGATTAACCTGTCTCTCTATCCTTTCGAGAGATTCAGCAGAGATTCTAATCTGAGAAAGTAGTTCGGCGGCAAGTACTATCAATGAATCTGAATATCCATATGTCAATGAGCATGCCATGTCTGGTGGTGTTTACAAGCAGAGTCGACACAGCGTTATTAAGGTACTAGTGTCGTGGTAGAGCGTCGAAATGTAGTACTCCAATGTTGACACAGTGTATAGTTCATGCCGCCCGCCACATTGTCCGGCTTAACCTAGACTTCATACATGCGTTACTGGCATTGTAATTTATTACGGGGCCCTGTTAAGGTTGAGTTTAAATGTCTACGTACATGATATGTGCAATTTTGACAAGATTTTCCCCACGTATGTATGATCCCTGTGAATGGCTGTTAGATGTGGACTATTTAAACCGACAGCCTATTTTTCAGTTTGGGACTGAAGTATATTTACGAAAGACGTTTATATTCGACATGATGTGCAAACTTAGTATAGGATCTTTTAAAGCTATAGTTGACTCTTTAAACGAGCATAAGAACGAAAGTGAGCGCATTTACTTTAAATCTATTCCTCAATCAATACCGAAGGATCATAGGTCAATATTTCACAACTACTGGAGGATAAGAAAGGGATCTTTCATGAATATCAATGCAGTTCTTCTATAAAACCTTTAAGTTAACCCCAATAGGGCCTCAGTGTATGAATGCCTATTCTGCTGAGTGTAAGTGTGTATACTGTGGGGCCCCATGGTGGGGAGGGGGCATTGTGTGAGTGACAGGGGAATGTGTAGCTGGGACGTGCCCTGTATAGCCCTTGTATGTAAAGTGGGGACTTTACACATTCATAACCAGCAGCTATAATCAGTTTCACTATTTGAGCTGGTTACTGTCATCAAGCTTAAGAACATGCTCCATAGACAGATCATCTTTATTTCCTCCAAGTGATGAAGATACATTGATATCAGATACTACAGTATTCATAAATGTATATATAACAGGGTATATATTGAATGTACAGGCAGTTTCACATCGTTATCATATAATGTTACTGAGTAGGTTTTTTCCACATTTTAACATAATATTTGACATTTCAGGGCTTGATTTGGCTTTATAAAACTTGCACAAGTGAAACCTATTATTGAAAAATGCAACCTAATATCTATGTCTTCAGACATAAAGTGCATGCAAAAAACATTCTCACTAACCATTACTTTTCCACACAATAGCATTCTTTGAACACACTCAATACCTCTAAAGTGTATTTACCATTAATTCATGTGACACTGGCAGCAGAGCGGCCTTTGTTTCAACTTTGATAATTTTAAGGGACCAAGGTACAACCTGCCTGTGTTTGGTGCAACTAGGTTTTCATGACAACATGTAACTGGTGCAAGTTAAATGAAGTTCCTTAAATGAGCCCTGCATTTACACTAGGCCCTTATTCCACCTCGTCCTCCAACAGTTCAAACAACCCAACTCAATTGTTTTTGCCTGAAAGCAGTATTATAACATGTATTCTCTCATAGTGTATATTGTTTATGCCTTAAGTCAGTATTATATCTTACTGTATTCTCTCATAGTATATATTGTTGATGCCTTAAGTCAGTATTATATCTTACTGTATTCTCTCATAGTATATATTGTTTATGCCTTAAGTCAGTATTATATCTTACTGTATTCTCTCATAGTATATATTGTTTATGCCTTAAGTCAGTATTATATCTTACTGTATTCTCTCATAGTATATATTGTTTATGCCTTAAGTCAGTATTATATCTTACTGTATTCTCTCATAGTATATATTGTTGATGCCTTAAGACAGTAATATATCATACTGTATTCTCTCATAGTATATATTGTTGATGCCTTAAGACGGTATTATATCTCACTGTATTCTCTCATAGTATATATTGTTTATGCCTTAAGGCAGTATTATATCTTACTGTATTCTCTCATAGTGTATATTGTTGATGCCTTAAGACAGTATTATATCATACTGTATTCTCTCATAGTATATATTGTTTATGCCTTAAGACAGTATTATATCTTACTGTATTCTCTCATAGTGTATATTGTTTATGCCTTAAGACAGTATTATATCTTACTGTATTCTCTCATAGTGTATATTGTTTATGCCTTAAGACAGTATTATATCATACTGTATTCTCTCATAGTGTATATTGTTTATGCCTTTAGACAGTATTATATCATACTGTATTCTCTCATGGTGTATATTGTTTATGCCTTAAGACAGTATTATATCTTACTGTATTCTCTCATAGTGTATATTGTTTATGCCTTAAGACAGTAATATATCTTACTGTATTCTCTCATAGTATATATTGTTTATGCCTTAAGACAGTATTATATCATACTGTATTCTCTCATAGTGTATATTGTTTATGCCTTAAGGCAGTATTATATCATACTGTATTCTCTCATAGTGTATATTGTTTATGCCTTAAGGCAGTATTATATCATACTGTATTCTCTCATAGTGTATATTGTTTATGCCTTAAGGCAGTATTATATCATACTCTATTCTCTCGTCTCGTTGTCTGTAATCAGCTTTTCTCTATGTCAGTATACTGGGGCTAGGAAGCAACCTATTAGGAAAATGTGCCAATGCTGGCGGTAGGATACACATAAATATAATTCACTGTCAGGGACATTTACATATTGACCCATATCCAAAACAGATACATGTAGTTGTTTTTAGACTGGACTGCCGTCATGTCTTCCAAACCTGATGAAGACATCTGGAAACCACAGCTATGAGTCTTGTTGCAGTCACAATAATAAACCAAACAATAAATAATATTATATTTACTCAAAGAACAAATGTTAAAGCATAGACCTTTAAGTTAAAACACAACTATATTCTAAAGCATTAACATGTTTCTCTTCAGATATATAAACTATTCATAAATTAATTGTTTCAGTAGCAGATTATGATAAGACTTTGTGTTAAAAATATTTGCAATATCTTTGGGCAGTTGTGTTTGGTATTAACACAGAAACTGATTTATTTCTTCTGTTTGTTATTCTGTAAATGAGTATCGTGTTTAGGTCACTTCACAATACAAAACCTACTCAGTATGTCTGGTCATATCACCATACAAATGGAGTGAGTGAGTGAGCTAGGTTTTACACTACTTTTAGCAATATTCTAGCAATATCTTGGCGGAAGACACTAGAAATGGGTTTCACATTGTGGACAATACCCATGTGTAGAA